GTATTGAAAACCAGGGGACACACTATAAAATGTTAACAGAGTTATGCCTGGGTCTATGGGAGATTTGTTTATTTTTCTTTATTTTATAAATTGTCTACAATAAACCCTTTTATAGGAAGAAAAGAAATGTTTTTAAAAATATGAAAGAGCCCTGGCCAGTTTGGCTCAGAGGTTAGAGCATTGGCCTGCGGTACAGAGAGACCCGGGTTCGGTTCCCGCTAAGGGCGTGTACCTCGGTTGCAGTTTTTCCTTGACCCTGGTTGGGTCATGCAGGTGGCAGCCGCTTGATGTGTCCCTTTCACGTCAATGTTTTTCTCTGTCTCTCTGTCTCACTCTTTCTACCTCCCACTCTATCTGAACAAAAAATGGAAAAATGTCCTTGGGTGAGGATAAAAAAAATAAATAAAAATAGGCAAGAGTACAAAGCCAGCAAATAGGAAAAGACCCTGTACTAGGATGTAACATACCCTCACAAGAGGCCACCAGGTCTTGCCCCTGAAATTCGGATTCCAGTAAGTCATGCCTGCAGGGAGTTATTTCTACAGGTGGCCTTAGTCTCCCTGGGCCCAGAAGTCGATGCATGGCTTTGGCTGGGGCTTTGGGGGTACTTGGACTCCTGGGTTCTTTCCTTACTTCTTGCCCAGCTGGATTCACTCCTGCTTGCGAAAAGCCGATAAAAACAAGGATAACAAGATGAGCTTCAAAGAACTGCAGAACTTCCTGAAGGAGCTCAACATCCAGGTGGATGACAGCTATGCCCGGAAGATCTTCAGGGTGAGGCAGAAGGGAGCCCTGGCAACGCGGTCCTTGACCCTAGGCCAGGGCCTGCTCTGAGCCTGCCCACCGGGCTGTCCGGGCTTTGCAGGAATGTGACCACTCCCAGACGGACTCTTTGGAGGACGAGGAGATTGAGGCCTTCTACAAGATGCTGACCCAGCGGAAGGAGATCGACCGCACCTTCGCCGAGGCCGCGGGCTCAGGGGAGACCCTGTCGGTGGACCAGTTAGTGACTTTCCTGCAGCACCAGCAGCGGGAGGAGGCTGCGGGGCCTGCACTGGCCCTCTCCCTAATTGAGCGCTATGAACCCAGCGAGACTGGTGAGGGCCTGGCAGGGCCTGCAACCCGCAGTCCCAGAGCCACGCTGGGCGGGAGACCCCTGGGGAGACGGCAGCCCAAGAGTGGGGAGCTGCAGAAATGGGGTGCTTCAGCCAGCCTCAGGGCCTGGGTCAGTGTTCGCCTGCCCCATGAAAGCAGGCAGATGGGAGGCAGGGCTGCAGCCTCCTTACCCCCCTCAGTTCCTGCTCCAGGGAGAGAGGAGGCTGGAAAAGCAAACTTTCCCTGCTTCCTGTCTGATGCCCATCCTGGGCCCAACTCTGAGACGGCCCTGCCCCGGAGGGGGCTCCGGTCGGGGGCAGAGAGAAGGAGATGAGGGCCGGTCCTCAAGGGGCCTCACAACGTGGGGGACAGGAGCGAAGACAGGGCCCCAGGAGGAGGCTGGCGGGCGGAGGGCTCTGACCGGCCCTGGCCTGCTCCCTCCCAGCCAAGGCACAGCGGCAGATGACCAAGGACGGCTTCCTCATGTACCTGCTCTCGGCCGACGGCAGCGCCTTCAACCTGGCGCACCGTCGGGTCTACCAGGACATGGGCCAGCCGCTCAGCCACTACCTGGTGTCCTCCTCACACAACACCTACCTGTTGGAAGACCAGATCACCGGGCCCAGCAGCACTGAAGCCTACATCCGGTGGGCAGGGGGTGGGGCCGGGGCGGGGCCCTGGGCGGCCGGGCGGGGCCTCGGGTCCTAGCCGCCACTCCCCCCGCAGGGCGCTGTGCAAAGGCTGCCGCTGCCTGGAGCTGGACTGCTGGGATGGGCCCAACCAGGAGCCTGTCATCTATCACGGCTACACGTTCACCTCCAAGATTCTCTTCTGCGACGTGCTCAGGGCCATCCGGGACTACGCCTTCAAGGTGGCCGCGCCCCTGGGGGTGAGGAGGGGGATGCTAGGGGTGGCCGACCCCTCCTAATCTGCCCTCGGACCCCCAGGCGTCCCCCTACCCCGTGATCCTGTCCCTGGAGAACCACTGCAGCCTGGAGCAGCAGCGCGTGATGGCGCGACACCTGAGCACTACCCTGGGCCCCATGCTGCTGGACCGGCCCCTGGACTGGGCCACCACCAGCCTGCCTTCCCCCGAGGTGCACGGCGGGGATGGGGGTGCCCAGAGGAGGGGGCAGGGGGAATGGCTGGGAGGCCAGCTTGGTCTTGACCAGCTGCCCTCCATCCTTAGCAACTGAAAGGGAAGATCTTGCTGAAGGGGAAGAAGCTGGGGGGATTCCTGCCCCCCAGTGGGGAAGGTGGCCCTGAGGCCACTGTCGTGTCAGACGAGGATGAGGCTGCTGAGATGGAGGATGAGGCCGTGAGGAGCCGAGTGCAGCACAAGTCCAGGGTTCGAGGGGAAGCTGTGGGGGGAGGGCAGCCCTGGGGCCCTCCCACATCACCCCCTCATTACTGGGTGGAATGTTTGCCTTGTCTCAATTCTCTGTGGCTGCCATTGAGACCCTCTGCCCCCTCTCTGTGTCTGTCTCCCTCTCTCTGTCTCTGTGTCTGGGTTTCTGGCTCTCAGTGCCCACCTGCCCCAACCTCTGAATCTAACCCGGGCCTCCCCATGGCTCCCAGGAGGACAAGCTCAGGCTAGTGAAGGAGCTCTCTGATATGGTCATTTACTGTAAGAGCGTCCACTTTCGAGGCTTCGCCAGCCCTGGCGCCCCGGGGCAGGCTTTCTACGAGATTGCGTCCTTTTCTGAGAACCGCGTCCTCCGACTGCTGCAAGAATCAGGTGAGCCCTGGCCCTGCACCCTGAGGGTGCTGTCCGCTGTCTGACCATCCAGGCTGGCCAGGGCTGGGCCTGGCTCCCACCGCCCTGGACAGCGTTGGACTCCCTGCTGTTACCAGCAGAGCTGGTGGGAGGGACTCAGGCAAACCTGGAGGCCTCCACTTCTGACCATCCCATGTCCCCTCAGGAAACAGCCTCATCCGCCACAACGTGAATCACCTGAGCAGGATCTACCCTGCTGGGTGGAGAACGGACTCCTCCAACTACAGCCCCGTGGAGATGTGGAATGGGGGCTGCCAGATCGGTATGGGCTGGCTGGGCTGGGAGGAGGAGGCCTGGATGAAGACCTCAGCCCAGAGGGCCAGGGACCAGGAGACTGGGGTCTTAAGCAGGGCCAGATGCAGGGAATTTGTGGGCTTAGCACTGGTGATCTCAGCTTGGAAATATCCCCGTGCTAGCAAGACAGAGTCTGAAATTCCATAGTTAGCTCACTAGTCCTTCGAATTCTGCACCAGAAATGAGATGTGAGCTTGGTGTGGTGAGTCAGTCAGGACGGCAGTAGGCATTGGAGGACATCGGACCCTGTTTCTGCCTCGCGATGTAACTCAAAGGCTCAGTGTACCCTGAGGAGGCTGGGCTCTAGGACCCCTGAGGCAAAACCACAGCCTGTGACCTCTCTGTCCTACCTGTAGTGGCCTTGAACTTCCAGACACCTGGACCAGAGATGGATGTATATCAGGGCCGCTTCCAGGACAATGGAGCCTGCGGGTACGTGCTGAAACCTGCCTTCTTGCGGGACCCCAACTCTACCTTCAACCCACGTAACCTGGCTCAGGGGCCCTGGTGGACTCGGAAGCGGCTCAACATCAGGGTATGGCCAGCCACAGAAGGGACAGGAGCCCATGGCCTCCCTTCCCCCTCACTGCCATTCCTGATGTCCGTCACCTTTCCTCAGGTCATCACAGGGCAGCAGCTGCCAAAAGTTAACAAGAGTAAGAATTCGATTGTGGACCCCAAGGTGACGGTGGAGATCCACGGCGTGGGCCGGGACGTGGCCAGCCGCCAGACCACAGTGGTCACCAATAACGGTACGTGCTGAGTCTGGGCTGGGCCCAGCCGCTGCAGCCGGTGTCCCTGCTGTTGACACAGTGCTTGTACCCCTAGGTTTCAATCCGTGGTGGGACATGGAGTTTGAGTTCGAGGTGGTTGTGCCTGAGCTTGCCCTCGTGCGCTTCGTGGTCGAGGATTACGACGCCTCCTCCAAGAACGACTTCATCGGCCAGAGCACCATCCCCCTGAACAGCCTCAAGCAGGGTGAGTTTTGTCAAGGGGAGGGGATGGCAAGGTGGGTGGAGGCAGAGCCTGGCATCTCTTGGGCTGGGTGCTGTCCCTTGAGGCATCCTGCCCGAGTGACTGGAACTCTCCCTGTCTGCTCCTTCCCATCCACTCCCCTGCCAGGATACCGCCATGTCCACCTCTTGTCCAAGAATGGAGACCAGCACCCATCTGCCACCCTCTTTGTGAAGGTGTCCCTGCAGGACTAGGCTTGGGAGCGGTCCAGGCCTCTGCCCGGCCGAGAGCGGGGCGGTGTGGCTGCTCCCAACCTCTCGCTGCCTTCAGCCCTAACACGTCGTCTATGCTGCTGCCTACCCGGGCCTAGGAGCCGGTCCGGGCCCTGGGTCTGTCCTCACTTCCGTTAGCAATAACACTGCAGCCCTCTCCGCCCTCTGGCCGGCCCTTGGTTGAGGGTTTTTATAAAAATCATAAGACTAAGTCCTGTGGTCTCTTTACCTGCACGCCAGAAAATTCCGTAAAGTACGCGCCTGTGTGTGTCCCAGAGCACTGAACCCCGCACCTGGCTCCCCACCTCCCACGCTCACACTGCATGGAGGGCGCTGTCTGTGCCCCTGGGCAGGAGGGCCACCAAGGAATAAACCCCTGCATGGAGGAGAGTACAGAGAGACCACCCCGCCCAGCCCCAGAGCCCCTCCCCGGAGGCGGACCTGCTGAGTGACCCAGACTTGAAAGCCCACGCGCCACACCTTGTGAGGGCCACACGCTTTTATTGACAGGGAGGGTGTAACCCAGGAGTCCCTCTGGGGCTCAGGTGCGTGTGGGGGAGTTACGCGGGCTCGGCCAGGTGAGGGGCGCAGGGAGGAGCAGGCCCGGGTCAGAAGAAACCGAGCTGCTTCTTCTGCTGCTGCTGCTTCCACTTGGCCATGCCGTAGAATTCCTCCTTGGACTTCCCAAAGATGTCCTGGAAGTCAGAGTCTGAGAGATAGAACTGGGGGTGGGGGAGGCGGATACAGGGACGGGTGTCAACTGAGCCCAGAATTCTTTCCCACCCGGAGGTGTCATCCCAGGGCTTACGGCTGTCCTCTCCCATCTCTGACCATCACCGCATCTGGAACACACATCTCCCCAGACAGCCTGCCCACTGCCCACCATCAGTGTGTCACCTAGGTCTGAGGTACACTAGTGCTGGGGCAGTGAGTGGCAGGGAGTCTCAGGCACCTACCTCCTTTTGGGCGGGGTCCACGCCCACTGGCAGGTTCTTGGCAGTCTTGTACATCAGCTGTTCACGGGGCAGGCCCCCATCGATCATGGATCTGGGGCTGTTGTGGTAGTTGCTGGTGCCGGTGCCGGTGCCGGTGCTGGTGCTGCTGCTGCTGCTGCTGCTGCTGCTGCTGCTGATGCTGGTGCTGATGCTGCTGATGCTGGTGCCAGTGCTGGTGCCATCCACCTTGGGGCCCAGCTCCAGCTCATTTTCTGATCTGTCCTGGGAGCCCTTGAGGGCCTGTAGGGCCAAGGAGCCTGGACTGCTATTGCTTGGCCATCGGGACAGCCGGAAGTTGTTGACTTCCTGTCCATAGAGGGGACTCAGGCTGGGGACGATGAGGATAGGCTCCCAAGAGAAGGCCACACTTAGCCCACCGGCCCTCTTGCCCCCAGCTGCAACCCCCACCACCCACCAGGGCCTGGCTCCTTCCCTGCCCATCCTGCCCATCTGGATCATGCCAACTGAGCCAGACCGCAGGGGGAAGCCCGGGAGGACCCTGTACTCACAGCTGTTATCTCAGTGATGGCCGTTATTGTGTCCAGGCTGCCCTCCACCAACTCCCTGTAGGACTGGTTGTTCTGGGGGCAAAAATCAGGGGGTGAGATGGAAGGACACCCCATCTGCGAGGGGACCTGAGGACGAGACCAGGTCTCCCCCATCCGCATTGGAGGTCCCCAGGCAGGGCAGTGCCTCCTCTCAGTCTGCCCAGGCAAGCCCCTCTCCCCTGGATTAGGGTGGGGCGGGGGTTCAGACCTCACTCTCAGTCCACTTGTAGGGGTCCCAGGCAAGGAACCATCCGGTGAAAGTGGGAGGCTCATGGCCCTGCTTGATGAGCACGATGGGTATGGTCTGGCTCCTCCCCGCTGGGTGGGTCTGCAGGTACTCCCGGCCCCAGGCCACCACCTCCTCCTTCTGCTTGCTCACAGCTTCTCCCAGCCACAGGAAGATCTGGGCCAGAGGGGCTGGCCGTGGGCGGGGGAGGGGCTGCCCAGAGCCGACCACTTCCTTCCCGCCTCTGTCCATCAGATGGTCTCAGAGCCCCCCAAACACACCGGGCACACAGCAGGTTGGCCGCCGTATCCACACACCCATAGACACCCCAGAAGATCACAGGCATACATGTACGCATGCATTCGATCCACCAATAGTCACTGAGTACCTACTGTGGGCCAGGGGGTTCAACAGTGAAACAAAGACGAGACAAAGATCCTTGCTCTTATAGAGCTTTTGTTTTATTGGGGGAGACAGAAAAATAAGTAAAATGTGTAATATATCAGATGGAGAAAAATGAGGCAGGGAAAGAGAGAAGGGTGGTGATGGTGGGAATGGTGTACTTTCATTTTTTTGTCCTCACCTGAGGACATTTTTCCATTTTTTTGTTCAGATAGAGTGGGGGGGGGGGGAGAGAGAGAGAGAAATATCGAAGTGAAGGGACACATCGAGTGGCTGCCACCCGCACGACCCAACCAGGGCCAGGGACAAACTGCAACCGAGGTACATGCCCTTAGCGGGAACCGAACCCGGGTCTCTCTGGACTGCAGGCCGACGCTCCAACCGCTGAGCCAAACCAGCCAGGGAGGAATGGTGTACTTTTAAATTCAGGGAGAGCCTTACTGAGATGACATTTGAGTGAAGATCTGCAGGAGGTGAGGGAGCAAGGCATGTGTATGTCTGGGGAGAAAGTGTAACCAGAAGAAACAACCAGTGCAAAGGCCCTGTGTGTGCCTGGCATCTCTGAGGAGCGGCACAGAGGCCGTTGTGGCTGAAGCGGAGCAGGCACAGGGAACGTGGGACCCATCAGGCTGAAGAGTTGGCGTCTCCAGGCTCTGCAGGGTGGTGGGGCTTTGCTTTTGCTCTGAGCGACACGTGAGTCTACGAGCCTCATCACAGTCACACTGTCATAGACGGTGACACAGGCACATCCATGATCACAGCTACAGAGACACATCACCCATCACCACAGCCAGACAGCAAGTCACAGCCACACATTGTCACCCAGTCACACACAGCTACACACTTGATTACACAGTTACACACAACCAGCCTGAAAAACACAGGTAGCCCGGAAAACCACCACATACAGCCGCACAGAAACAGCTGCCCAGCCACGCCAATGCAGCCACCCAGTCACACACACCTCATCGGTTGTGGCTGGTCTGGCCAGTTACGGCCAGTTACCTGACCATATAGACACTCCACACAGCCACATACACAAAAGCAAAGGCATCACACATGCACACACGGTCAGTTACTCCACTCGACACGGACACGTCGGCCCCAGGCAGTCGTCTGCAGCCACACACTATTTGAAGGCACAAGGAGTCACATATAATTACAACGCCTGCCACGGTCACACACAAGTTCCAGACACACAGTCAGAGCCTCACAGTCACAGTCACACAGACTCACCTGCAGCATACAGGCAGTCCTATGGAGAGGAACGCACAAGGACACACGCTCACACCTCGCTACTCAGATACAGACACGCCCCAGTAGCACGGGGTGGCCTACCTCCTGCCAGGTGTCCAGTAACATGACATCATACTTGTCTAGGTCGTCCTGGCTGAAGAACACGACCTCCATGAGGACCAGGTGGCCGTTGTGGCTGGAGCACTCAAATAGCCGTGGCTGGAAGCTGGAGATGTCCTCAGGGAGGCTGGCCAGTGTGGGCAAAGGCCGTGAGGGGTGCAGCCTGGGCCAAGCTATCTCTTGGCACAGGGGCCCCTGCCCCAGGGGCTGGGCCCTCCTCTGAGTGCCACCCACCCTGCTCCCCTCTGGGCCTCCGTGTCCCAGTCTGTCAGTGGGGAAGCAGAGTGGGTGATGTGTCTGCTCCAGGCAGCTGTGGTGCAAGCTGCCCCAGGACTTTCCCCAGGAAGGGCCCCAGAAAGGGCTGGGCCTGGGCTGGAGCCAAGTGCTCCTTGGGGAAGAGGAGCTGCTGGCCCCACCCCTGGATGGGATTGGCCTCTGGCCCAAGGTGGGAGGAGGGAAGTTAGGCTGAGAAGGGGACAGTAGTACTTAGGAGCTCAGGAGACTTGGGGGTGTGCAGTGCACAAACCAGGCCCCCCAGATAATACAGAGCGGCCTAGGACTCAGCTCCTCCTTCCTTTGAGGCCTCACTCTGCCTTCCCCTCTGATACATACCTTTGTGCACTTACACACCACACATATACTGTTCTTGCACACTCCACACAAACACTGTTCTTGCACACTCCACACACACACACACACACACACAGCACCACTCTCCTGGGGACTGGGGTTGGGGAATGGCTTCTGCCAGTGGTCCAGGACTGGGACAATGCAGGGAGCACCTTGAGCCAGCAGAGGGCACCACTGCCCTGCTTCCCCTGCATCTTCCTGATCCAAGTTACCCTGGGTTGGGGATTGAAGGGGTGAGGGGTAGGGGATGTGCTCCTGGGAGCCCCAGGGATGGGGAGCCAAGAGTTCTCAGGTCTAGTCTGGCTCTTCTAGCTCCTTGTGTGACCGTCCATTAGTCACCCCACCCTCTTGGGGCCTCAGATTCATCCTCTGTGTAAGAACGCCCTCCTCCCAACCCTGTCACCTCTTGCTGGGGTAGGGAGCCCTGCCTCCCAGGGCCTCCCAGAAGTGAGGAGGCTCCTGACCCTCCAGCACTGTTTCCTGATCCATGTTCCCAGAGACGACAGTGACCACCTTCCGCGCCATCACACGCTGGTCACCACTGCAGCCCTGGCAGGCAAATAGCTGGGTCAGGCCCTGCAGGGGAGGGGTCTTCACTTCCAACCCCGCAGCTGCCACTCACAGGGGCCTGAGTCACAGGAGGCCTGGGCTGATGGGAGGACATGCACAAACAAGGGAGCCCCCTTCCCGCCCCTCTGGCCTCTGTCTCCCCAGCTGATCAGGGTCTCAGGGACTGGGACCCTCTTTGGGTCCAGAGCACGGGATGGGGACTCCTAGGCTTGGAGATCATTCATGGTTTATGCTGAAGATCAGAGAAAATTCTGGTAAACTGAGCTAGGCCTCCTCCTTTTCCCAAAAGACTTGGGAAGGGGCAGGCTCTCTGTTCGAGGCAGGATGGAGGGGAGGCAGCCTGCGTCTGTCCCGGCTCTGACCTGTGGACTCCAAGTCCATCTGTCACTTTATAACGGCCCCAGGTTCATGCCTGCCTGCTACCCTCCTCCAGGCCTGTCTCAGGCTGGACTGGAAGCCTCAGACCTCCCCGTGGAGCGGCCTCAGCCTGCCTGCCACCACTGCCCTGGCGTGCCTTGAGTGGCTGGTGTTGGTGGTACCTTCCCAAACCAGATGTAGCAGATGCTGCCTGTAATCAGCAAGAAGATGTCACTGGAGTTGAGGGTGGAGGCCCGGGCTGGCACCTCCATGATCCTGGGGTTGTAGCTGTCGGTGCCTTGCACGTGGAAGAGCCTCGTGGCAGACGCTGGCTGCCCCCTCCCACTGTGCCCCGCGCTCCCCTGCAAGAAGGCCTGGCATCAGCTGGGCCAAGGGCCCCCAGGGGCTGCCCGCCCCTGTGCGGGACAGACTGCCTCAAGGCTCAGGGATGCCTTTCTTAAAGCCACCGTTTCCTGGACCCTCTGGGTGTGGCATGTGAGGGTCCCGTGGTCTAGGATAGGACCAGGCCTTTCCAAATGGATCCCTCACCCCATCCCCAAGGGGTCAGGACACAGTTCCCCCAGGCCTGAAGGCAGAAAGTGGGGACCGGCTTTGCCCGTATGTGACCCCAGGCAGGGTCCCGGCTTCGGATCAAACTTCCTGGCCTGTGCTCCTGCGGTGTGGCTGGCTCCGAGGACTAGGGGGGGAAACTTAGGCGGGGGTCACCCTTGGAGCTCAGGCCCTTGGACAAGCACCCAGAGACCAGAGTGAGGGCGGGGTAAGCAGATCCCCCAGGCCCGAAGCGGTGTTCGCGTGTGCATGTGAGGGTCGCCGGCACTGGAGGAGCTGGGAGGCTGCGGTGGGTCCTACCTGGAAGACCACCATCTGGCCCTGGAAGATGGCGAAGAAGTGCTTGGGCTCACTGCCCATGGTCACGTGCTCGTGTACCAGGGCTCCGTGGTACAGGAGGTCCAGCTCCTCGGCGTTGCCGTTCAGGGCCTTGATCTCTTGTGCGGTGGCCTGCTGGCCCTGCAGACGGGGTGGGGAGGCCCTGGAGCAACTCTAGACCCCGTTTGCATATCTTCAGCCTGAGGCTGAAAGGTGCCGTCCTCCCTTGGGCCTGCGTACCTGCCACAGGTACAGGGTGTACTTGGTGTGACCCATCCTCTGGTATGTGTAGAAGACAAGGTAGCAGTTGCCTGCATAAAACTGTCCATGATGCTTGGGCTCCACGGGTTGCCTGCTTGAGTCCTGGATGCACCACACCTGGGGAACGGGACCAATGGGCACAGGTGTTCCTCCGCCTGAACTCAGCCTGTGCCCAGTCAGAAAGCTTTCCTCAGCCTCATCTGTGCAGGCAGGGGGCTCATACCCAACTCTGCACCTACCCCACGCTCTGTGCTGGGCTTGTGCAAGGAACCGCGGGTGACCCTGTCCCCGATGGGGCTCTGAGACCCTCCACACTTGTGCTGCCTGCTCTCACCCAGGACTCTGAGTTGGCAGTGGACAGACAAGTGGTGAGCACCCCAGAGGCTGCCAAGGCAACCTGACCCCTGCCACAGCACTGCCACCTGACCCCCAGCCACGGCACGGGTCAGGGCAGACAGGTCCTGGTGGAACTGTTCGCTGCTTGGGCCAGGCGCTGGGCAGAAGCGAGGCCTTGGGCTCTTGGAAAAATTCCCTTTTTCCAAGGGCCACTTGAAAATACAAAGCCTGTTCAAAGACAGACATGAAAACACTCCCTCATTCTTGTGTCACTTGTGTACATGAAGCTTTGTAAAACTGTATGTGTGTGTGCCCATGACACCACTACTATGGTGTGCAGGCATGCCTCTGTATGACCATGGGACACCCTGAGGGTCGCTCTGTGGCTGTGGCTGTGTGCATCTCTGGGCATGTCTGGCTGCAGGCAGTGCTGTGTTCCATAGGGTGTACACAACTACGACACTTCTCAGTGCATGTCTATAGCTGTACATGTGTACATGTGCACGTGTACACGGCTGGAGGGTACATGTTTTTCCATGTGTGTAGATGTGTGTGTACATGTACACTTGCATGTACGTGTGGGGGCACACCAAATATGAACAAGTGTGTGAGCTCATGGGTGACAGTGTATGTATGCCTGTGTGGAGAAGTGTGTTATCTATGGATAAGCACAGTCATCATCCAGACAGAAAGTAAAAGGGGAGACTTAAATAATTATTCCAGGATGACAGGCGAAGCCTGGGGCTGCATGGTGGCCCTGCGCGACCAGGTACATGTGGTCACTGAGTCTGGGGGAACAGTGTGCGAGCCTGTGTGGGACTGTCTTGGAGTCTCAGGGCTGCCGCACGCCACGCAGACAGCAAGGAGCACAGCTCAGGTCCATTCACATCACGGACATCAAGCACCTGAATGTTCATTCCCCCAAATTCCTGCCACATGGCAGCAGAGTCTTGTTCAGCCAAGAGCGGCGTTTTCCATTAATTTCCAGCAGATGGAGACAGGGGCACTCTGTTCTCCACTGCACAAGGGCACTCAGTGGCCTAGAGTGGCCCCAGGGGTAAGAGTGGGAGACAGTGTGTGTGCCTACGGGTGACAATGACAATGTGTATGAGTATGGGGCCGTGCATCCCCCACCCCAAATCATGCTTCTTTCCCTCGTATAAGGACCATCCAGCCGCACCCTCTGGACCGTCTCGGCCCCCCCGCCCCACTCCAACTTCTTACTATGGCCATGAGGTGAGTGAAGAAACAGAGGGTCAGGGGGGCCACTGTGGAGTGGCGCTAAAAGCCTGACTCTGCCTTCTCTCTCCTCATTCGAGATAGGCCATCTGGCTGTGGGCCGGTTTGGCTCCATGGTTGGAACGTTGGCCTGTGGCCTAGAGAGTCACCAGTTCGATTCCGGTCAGGGACATGTACCTTGGTTTGGGTTCAGTCCCTGGCCCTGGTTGGGGTTGTGTGGGAGGCAACCAGTCAATGTGTCTCTCTCACTCAATGTTCCTCTCTCCCTCTCTCCTCCCTCCTACTCTACCTGAAAGTCAATGGAGGAATATCCTTGGGTGAGGATTAAAAAAATAGAAAGTGATAGGCCATCTGGAGATTGGGTGCTAGACTTATTCGAGTGATCACTTTGTAAGTTATATAAATGTCTAATCACTATGTTGTACACCTGAATCTAATATAATATAGTGTGTCAACTGCAATTGAAAAATAGATAGGTCATCTGGGAATGATGACAGCCTGTGGTTCCCCCCATTCCCCTGGCACCCTCCGCATGTCCCTATACATCGGTACACAAAGTCTGGCTGATCCAGGGGTCAGGTGGTATTCCTGGTATGCTCACCTCGGTGGCTGACACATGCTTCCTCCCTCTGATGCGTAGCAGTCGCTGGATGTTGTACATATTGGTCTCCACATGCTTGAGGGCAGAGGCCAGCCCTCCCTTCCTGTAGCTGAGGAGGGAATGAGGTCCCATGTAAGACCATACACTGCCATGTGCAGGAGAGAGTGCAGATTTGAGCACATGCATGCACACATGTGGGGATACGCACGTGTCTGCTTAATACATGTGTGCAAGTAGTTAGGAACATGTGTACAAGCACATGGCTACATGTAGTGCAGGAGTGTGCATGTGTTTATCTATGTGTTAATATGTGGACACATGCATTTACAGATACATATATTTCTGTGAGGGCACAGTGTGTGTCTGTTTATCCATGTGTACAGATGCAAATACATGCATGTACACATATGCCTGCACATGCACATACAAAGCACTTGTATACAAGTGGGAACAGGAGTATCTGTTTATCCATGTAAGTATAGATATGAGAGTGTGGAATTCGGGTGACAACATGTGTGTGTGTAAGTGGACATGGCTATTCATGTGTGTGTAGGTGTGCCCACCTGTAGGTGAACACATACAGCAGTGGCATGTTTCCTGCATGTGTGTATATGTTCATGTACACACTATCTGCATGCATTAGGTTCAATTGCATAAAACAGAAATGATCAAATATTGGCAGTTTCCTATGGGTCAACCTAATACTTTGCAACTATTAATTTACTACATATTTCAAGAAATTAACAGCAAAAGATATATTTCTTCTGGGCACAGTGACATAAAGGAAAATTCAAAACAACATGAGTGTCCCCCCTGGGTGTATACCCAAGAGGAATGGAAAACATGTCCACACAAAAACTTGTATAAAATAATGGATGTTAACTAAATTTAGAGCAGTAATCATTTCACAATATCCATAAGTCAAACCATTATGCTGTATACCTTAAACTTACATCGTGGTATATGCCAATTATATTTCAATAAAATGGGAAAAAAAGCTTGTGTACAAATGTTAATAACAGCATCATCCATAACAGCTAAGCAGCAGAAACAATGAAAATGTGCCCTACGTATGAACACATCAATAAAATGCGGCAGTTCGAATATCATGTGATCATGTGCTGCATAATCCCATTTACATGGAATGTCCAGACTAGGCAGATCTGTACAGAGGGGGCAGGGAATACTGAGGGGAAATGGGGAGTGGTTGCAAGGGTATGGGGCCTCCTTTGGGAGGATGAACATGTTCTAAATTTGATGATTGCACAAACCTGCGAATATACTAAAAATCTGCAAATGGTGCACTTTAAATGGCGAGTTGTGTGGTGTGTGACTTGTAGCTCAATAAGGGTGTCAGCCGTCCCCAAACACTCTACACACTAGGGATGAGGGAGGTGGTCACTCTGGCCACCCCACTGCTCTGTCCGTCCCCAGCCCCCACAGCCCTCTCACTCACATGATCCCTGGGCGGATGTAGCTGCAGAAACAGTCGGATTCGTGCTCCTGCACCTCCCGGTGCAACACGGTGGCGCTACCCAGGGTCTCCTGCAGGCGCCGCAGGAAGGTGCTCGCCACGGCCTGCGCCTCTGTGTCCGCCTTCTTTCCGATCCAGTAGTGCAGGTCCTTGGCTGCCCCCTGCGCAGCCTTCAGGCCCTGGGGGACCTAGGGCGCAGGTGTTTGTGGGGGGAGGGGAACCGAGGTTCCAGGGTGGGGGATGGACCCAGGGCCAAGGCATGAATGGACACTGAGGTCAAGGTCCGACGTGTGCCAAAGGCTTTGGAGAGATGGGGCAGGGGATCTAGAACGGGGAGGACGGGGCTAGGAGGCCTCAGCAGCAGCAGCCCCTCTGTGGAATGGGATTTTAGGGCCTCAGCAGGCCTCTCCCAGGGCAGAGCTCACTCTGCACCGTCAGGCTCCCCAGCGGGCTGTGCCACCCTCTCAGACAGACGCCCGTGCTCACGTGGAGGACGATGTAACAGTGCTCCTCAAAGAAGTTCCCGTAAGCGCTCTCGGGGACGGGCACCATCTCCAAGTTCTGGGAGAGGAAGGTGCTTAGTGACAACTCAGGACACCCCCCTACACTCATGGCCCCCTGGGGTTGGGGGGACTCTGAGTTGAGGTCCAGGAGAAGCCTAGTTCCAGAGATCACACCCTTCTGTGGCAGCTGGCCCGCCATGCCCCTACCTCAATGATCCATATGTGGAGGTCCCTGTGGCTCTCGATGTCCGGGAGGCTCTTGGTGTCCATCCTAGGCCAGGCGGGCGGGAGGAAGGAAACAAGAGCCAGAGTTTTCAGACCCCGGCCTCCAAGCAAGAACTCTCCTTGCCTACAGCTCTCCAAGGCACCTCATCCTTGCACGTGCCTTTCATCAGGAGGGCTCCAGGACGCACACGCGCCAGCAAACCAGGGCCGGTGCTGCAGACCTGCCACAGAGAGGCTTTGAAACAGGGACTTGCTTTACATCTGTGGTTGTGCTTTTGGAACAGGGCTGAGCTCCGTGGACAGGGATAGGCCTTGAACATAGGTACAACCTCTGTAAACAGACGGAGATAGAAACAGGCTATGCAGACAGACAGAGGATATATGTTCGGGACAGTCAATGTGGACAGTGATAGGTTATGCAGACAGGCTTTGCTAGTAAGAACAGATTCTGCAGGCAGGGACAGGCTCTGCGGGCAGGGACAGAGCTGCAAATAGGCATTGGCTTTGAGGACCATTCAGAACAGGTGATGCAGAGACAGCGCACCTGCAGAGAGGGAGAGGCTCTGGACAGGGAGAGGCTCTGCCTGCAAGCACAGGCTCAGGAGCTGTGGGCCGGCTTTCTGTGTGAAGTCCCTGGAGGGGCTGTAGCGATGAGCTGAATTGCTTTCAGTTCTTGTGCCCCCGACAAGCCCCATAGCACAGGGTCTTTCTTCATCTCTGTGCTTTGTCAATTTGGGGCTCTGCTGGACCATGAAAACATCACTCCTTGCTGGGCCTTGCGGAGCTGCCTCATTTCCCACTGCCGAGAAAGTCCAGGTTGAAAAATTACAATATGAGACTCCTACCGAGGTAAAACTAATGGAAGAGCTAGGAGAGAGTTTTAACAGACAAGCCAGGAAATGATATTTCAGGAACTGAATTTTAAGTGCAAAAGTAACTTTTAAAACTTAAAAAGCATCTCATGATTTCTAAATATAAGAATTCAGTAAACAAACCGAGAAAAGGGAGAAAGAATGGTCACTGCTAAGGACTGAATGAATGCTCTGGAAGAGCAAATGGAAGAAATATCTTACAATTCAGACCAGAAACACAGAGATGGTAATTGCGTGGGGGTGGAGGGGACATCTAGGAGACCTAACGTGTAAATAACAGAAGTTGCAGAAAGAGAAAAGGTAATAGAAGAAATTTTTCTTGAGCTGAAGAAAACTATAATTTGCAGATTGAAAGGGTACCAAACATACAGGAGGATTAGTGGGGGCAAGTGAGGGCACACAGGCCCAGATATACGTTGATTGTATTCTGAAATTTAGGTATAGAGAGAAAATCTTACAGGCTACCAGAACAAGCTATTTTCTAAAAAGAGAGAGAGAGAGAGAGAGAGAGAGAGAGAGAGAGAATTATACTAGACTTCTCATCAGCAACACTGACAGCCAGAGACTATGAAAACTGTTTATAGGCTGAGAGAAAAAAATTACAAGCCAAAAATTCTATATGTGATCAAGATATCATTGGTCTGTTAAGGAATAAGGTGTATATTTTCAGACCTACAATGATTCAGAGAGGGGAGCAAAAAAAAAAATCTGGGGGAGATATTATTACAATATAATTATAGAAAATGTAGGAATGAATATAACTACTAGAAATAGAACTATATATAACAAGTAGCACAATTAGAAAATAGATCCTCAATATTCACAGAGAATGAAAGGGAAATAAATAGAAATGTGAACAAGCCATCAAAATGAAGGAAAGGGAGAAGGAACAAATAGCCTAATAAATAGTAAACCCAACATAAAGAGTAGACATGACACCAAATTCAGGAAACCGAATTCTCCTAAGGAAAGACCAAGCCTGTATCAGATTGGCATGAAAAATTCAGCTGTATATGTTTTCAAGAATATACCTATATCAGATAGGAATGATTTTGGCAGCAAGTAAAAGAAAACTGACAAATAATAGCTTAAACGAATAGGGGACTGTTTTTGTTGGACAAAAAGCCCGAGATTTGTCATTGCTGAGGTTAGTTCAGGTGCCCGACAAGGCCATCAGGGACCCTGCTTCTTTCTGTTCTTTTGTCTTTTCATCTTTCTGTTCCACTGTCCTTGGCATGTTTGCCTTGATCCTTGAGCTTGTGGTTTATTATCTCAAAGTCTCAAGCTTCAGCAGCCATATCCACACTGAAGGGAAAACAGGGAGGAGTAGTCCAGCCATGTCTGTCCCTTTTAGGGAAAGGAATGGCTTTCACAGAAAACCCCAGGAGACTTCTGCTTACGTCTAATAGGCCAGAACTTCGTCACATGGCTACCCACAGCAGCAAGGGAGGCCTGAAGGCGGGATGTAGACCGGCAAAAAGAATTTAGACAAAATTGGAGCCCTTTTCACAAAAGAGAAAAGAGGAATGACTACTGAGAAGATGTACTTACTAGTCAGTAAAGATTCACTTACGCTGCATCAGTAACATCCCCCCGAACCCTAGAGGCTTAAAATAATACAAAAATGTATGTTTCCCTTGTGCTGCATGTTGATCATGAGTTGGCGGGGTCTTTTGTTCTTTGGCACAGTTCAATAGAAATAGAATGAGAGCCACATATAATTGAAATTTTTCTAGTAGCCCCGTGTTTTAAAATATTTTTAAGATAAATTAATTTTAAAAACATGTTATTTAATCTAATATATCCAAAATATTATTTCAACATGTAATCAATAGAAAAAATTATCAATGAGATAAAATTTACTTCTTCTTTTTTTTTTTTATCCTCACCCGAGGACATTTTTTGTTCAGATAGAGTGGGAGGGAGAGAGAGGAAGAGAGAGAGAAACATCGACGTGAAGGGACACATCGAGTGGCTGCCACCCGCACAACCAACCAGGGCCAGGGACAATCTGCAACCGAGGTACGTGCCCTTAGCGGGAACCGAACACGGGTCTCTCGGGACCGCAGGCCGACGCTCTAACCGCTGAGCCAAACCGGCCAGGGCTAAAATTTACTTCTTTAAAATCTTACAATGCTTCAAAATCTGGCGTGTTTTACATTTATAGCACACCTTAATTTGGACTAGCCACATTTTATGTGCCCAGTAGCCTCCTGTGACTGATGACTATCATTACTGAATTGTGTAGCTCTCTCTTATCCTCAGGCATGGGCCTAGACTGTGGAAGGCCCATCTCTGCTTCTGTGATTGTCACAGTGGGGAAAGGGGATGTGTTGGTCACCCTGGCTATTGGAGTTTCACCCAGAAGTAACATGGCTCATTCCTGTGGGTGAAGCACTGAGCTAAGACAGAATAATGGGGTGGCTAAGAATGTGCATCTTAGCGTCTTAGTGTATGTCTTGGCCATACCAGTTACTACTGAGGTGACCTTTAAGCCATTACTTTAACTATAAAACAAAACATAATAAATGTGTTATGCCATTATTTTAAGAGAGAGAGAGGGAAGTAACATGCCTTGTTTCAACCTACATTTTATTGGCCAAGGCAATTAATTCAAGGGGCAGAGAAATGTAACCCTACCATATGCCCAGAAAGAACACTGGAATTATTTGGTGAGCTGCGCTAATGACTATTGCAGTAGGTGACTAATAATTTTTGACCCAATATCTACCATACCGTGATGTTTTTAAGGTGGAAAATAAAGAGATGAGGAAAATGTACTGAGCAGATCAAATAAAAAGCAAAAGTGGCAATGTTAATATCAGACAAACGAAGAAAGCAGGACACTTTATAATGCTAAAAGATCCCATACATGAAGTACATAATAGCTATAAACTTTCATATGTCAATCAGTAGTACAGCCAAATATATAGAAGAGCACATTTAAACATGAGAAAAAGCTATAGTCTAAAGAAAAACAATAAACAACATAGGAAAATCACTGGCAGTTTCTGGCAGGTGTAATAGGACAAAAAAAAAATTCAAAATTGGTACAAATATGGAAAATGTACAAAATTAGGTTTATTTGCAGATGACCTGATTATTTACATAGAAAACCCAAAACACTACAGAAAAATTAGCAACATTAAAAGATTTCAATATAGTAACTCTTATTTATGGAGAAATGTGCTGTGTTTCTAGATAGGAAGACTTAAAATTTATGTAGAAGAAAAATGTCTAGGAATAGCTGAGAAATTTGGTGGGGGGGAGAATAATGAAAGATGACTTGCCTTAACAGATATTCAACCTTGCTCCCCATTGGTGTAGAAAAATATATCAGTGAAACTTGAATGATGACATTCCACTGTAAACCGTGCCGCAGCCCCAGATTCTGATATCACCCTTAAGTATGCTTTCCTCATACTCCCCCTCCCAATTTAAAAATCATTGCTGTAGAAAATCGCCATTAGTGAAGGGAGCATAGTTTGTACCCTAGACTGGTAGAGGATTGAAAAGAGAGCAGAATCACTGCCGTCATAGTAAAAGTTGTTCTAAAATAGTTTCTGCCTAGATGCAATGGCCTGGGAAATGGGGCTGCACCCCTGGAAGGTTTCCTCGAGTATTTAGTTGTGTGTGTCAGGGAGTAAAGGCCTTTAAAGGCAGTTCTCACCCTGGCCGGTTTGACTCAGTGGTTAGAGTGTCAGCCCGAGGACCACTGAGTCTCGGGTTCGATTCTGGTCAAGGGCATGTACCTTGGTTGCAATTTGTTCCCAGCCCTGGTTGGGGTTGTGTGGGAGGCAGCCACTCAATATGTCCTTTTCACATCGATGTTTCTCTTTCTCTCTCTGTTCCTCTCTCTCCCTCCCACTCTATCTGAACAAAAATGGAAAAATGTCCTCGGGTGAGGATTAAAAAACACACACACAAAAATAAAGGCAGTTCTCTGACAGAGCTGAGCTCATCTGGACTTAGTGTTCATTCATGGACTTCCCTCACTTAACATTTGTCAAATGGCTTTTTAAAGAATGAAGTGAACTCTGAGGAATGCATGATTTGCATAACCCTCGACTCTTCAGTCTGTGAGACCAGAGCCCATGTCAACGTGGCCAGCCAGTTCCCAGAGGAGGACCCTCTGCTCTGGCTCTCAGCTGGGTCAGGACACCTGGAACACAA